GCCCCTGTCTCTGTGTGTGTGTGTGGACTTGTCACACACTTGCTGCCGTTGGGGCAACGGCACTGCTTGACACGAGCGCTGAATGCCTTCCAGGATTTCGCCGTGTACGCTGTTTTATTTCTCCCTCATGCCTTGGTTGTTGTGTTTCGTTTTTTTTTCACTTTTTGGCCTTGCGCCACTGCTCACACACGTCCATCCTCCTCACTGGGGACAGTAAGAGGGTTAGGAAACGTAAGAAGCAGGACTCTCTCCCTCTCTCTCTAGCGTTGAAAACAAGGGGGAAACAAAAACGGAAGGAGTGAGGGGAAACAGAATTACTATTGGTAGTAGTAGTAGTATTATTGTTTATTGTTGTGTGTGCGGGTGTGTGGGGGAATGCGGCGAATGTATCGTCACGTGTCGTCGTATGCTGCGGGCGGGGTCTATGCGGCGAGGGGCGGTGCGGGCCATGGCCGTGTCGCTTCCGTCGTCGTGCCTGATAGTCCCGAGGTGCGTGGAGCGGGGGTGGGCGTGGACGGCGTCGTCTACACGCAGCGGCGCGGCTTCCGCAAGGAGTTGTTTGAAGGGCCGCTTGACATCAAACCCGGCGAGCGCGTGGCGCGCAAGGGCCCACCGGTGGCCCACAGCCTGCCGGTGTACAAAACCGCCCACAAGCTCAACAATAGTGTGCGCTGGAAAAACGCGAACCTAATCACCAACGTGGTGGGCGGAAAGGACTTCCGCCTGCGTGAGACCCAGGGCGAGGGCACCTTTGACGACTCCGGTATGTACCGTGACTGGTTGTACGGCGACGAGCGGCGGTACGCCAACTACGTCGGTGTCGCCCTTGGCTGCCTGAGCATTGGGTTGTTCCTGTACACGATGCGGGTAATGAGCGCGGAGACGTGGGACATCCCCGCCCCTGTTCTGGCGTCCCAGCGCAAGAAGGCTGCCGCCGCCGCAAAAGCAGAGGCAGCGGCAGGAGGAGCCACAACGGTCGGAGGCGAAACTGGGAAAGGTGGTGATAGCGGTAATGATGCGGTGCAACCGCCGGACGCACTCGCAATGCTGAAGAGGCCCGCGATTGTCTCAAAGGCAGCGTAGGTGGACGCAAACCCCACCACACCCCACTCCTCTGCATTCACGGTGAGCGTGTGCGGAAAGGAAAGTGGAGGCGGAGGCCGTGTGTGCTGAGATGCTGCCGTTTTGTCTGTGTGGGTTTGTTTGTTTATTTTGTTTTTATTTCCCGGTTGGTTTGTATGTGAAGTTGTGAATTTGTCTGCGCGTCTGTGTGCGTAGAGTAACGCCTCCCCCGCAGGATGCCGGGATGACGTCTGTCATGACGACGGCGGTGTCTCACGGGCTCGCGCTGCCTCCACGTGCACCTGTCTTTCTTTTGTTTCTTTTTTTTTTGTTTCTGTGCTTTGCCGTGGGAATGAGGGGGAAAAAAAAAGAGAAAAGAAGGACGGGGAAGAAAGCTGCGAGGGCGACAGCTCGGCACATACCCACACACACTTGTAGTAGGAAGGAGGCCCACAGGGAAGCAACGAAAGGGAGGGGAGGGAAGGAAGGGTGAAGCATTTAGCAGGGAGACAAGCGGCGGCCAATGACGACACGTGCGGCTCCATCGCAGGCCGTGCAGCACCATCCACCGGTGAACATGGATTTAATTTACCATCAGACCATCATCCCAACGCAGAAAATCACGCACTGCGCCGTCGGCACCTTTACCCTTCCCGGTGCCACGGACTTTGCGGTGGTGCGGCACGACACGCTTGAGCTGTGGACGCTGCACGTGGACCGCAATGTTGCGGAGTGTGTTCACAGCACGCGGCTCTTTGCGAATGTGTACCAAGTCGCGGCGGTGCCCACCGTCGCCGCCGCCGGACGTGGCTCGGCAGGCATTCTTGACACGCCCTCCAACGAGAGTGCGGCGATGCACCGCCTTGCCGTGACGTCGGAGACGGGCTGTCTGGTGCTACTGCGGTACGACCTCGACGAGTTGCCCGTGCCGTCGCGCCTCGCGCAGGACCCAACGAGCAGCAGCGAGCACCCCAACGACAACAACAACGACGAGGACGAGAACGCCACCATGGGCCTGCAAAACACGTTTGTGCCAACCTCATTGCGGGGGAAGTTTGTTCGCGTCAGCGAGGTGGCGCTTGGCCGGAGTGGGGCACGCATCACGGTGCCGGGGCCACGCCTGGCGGTGGACCCACTTGGGCGGGCCGTGTTTGTTGCAGCGTTGATGCGGCTAAAAGTACTCGTCCCGCTTCGCAAGCATGAGGGGTACTACACCCAGCACGGCAGCGGTGGCACGCTGCAGGATGTCGGCGAGGATGAGCTGCTGACGTCGTCATCGCCGTCACCGCATGGCACAGCTGCCGGGTCGGAGGGCACCGTAGCGTCAACAAAGCGACGGCCTGCGATACGGGACATCATCTCGTTTGGCTCCCCTGTTGAGGCACACCGTCAGACGATCATTTTCTCTATCTGCGCCTTGGAAGGGGTGACAGAGAATGCCACGTTTGCAACGCTAGAGCAAGAGATACATGAGACGCAGTCGGCAGCAAGGGATGAGCCTGGGCCTGCCGCCGCTACCTCCAACGTGGGGGCTGGGAAGGCCTTTTTGCGCCTCAACCCCGGTGTCGCGTCGTCATCGCAGGGGGGCGGCGTTAGCAGTCGATCGAAGCAGCTGGTGGTGTACGCCTTTGTGGCAGGGCTGCAGCAGGTGCAGCGGACCCACCTTGTCTCCGTCCCGGCGACGGCGCATCGTCTCATTGCGGTGCCCGCCGCCCCCTTTGGCCCCGGCGGCGTCATTGTTTGCACCGATGCGGAACTCATCTGGTACGACTTACTCCCCCAGCTCCACGGGGACGGCATCCTCGGCAGCAGCCTGTCCGAGTTCAACCTGCCGCTGCCGCCGCCAGGTCTCTCCGCCGTCTCGCTGTTTAAGACAGCCGCGCCGTTTCCGCGACGCAACGACTTCCGTGAGCAGCTGTACGACCCCATGATTATTTCGCACGCCATGACATGCGTGCGCAATGACTTCTTTATGTTGTTGCAGGATGATCAGGGGGACATGTTTCGCGTTAGTCTCACCGTGATGGATGTGCAGCGCTCCTACGACGCGCTGCGCATGCGGCAGCAGCAGCAACGCATGGGCGCTGCCGCCGCTGCGGTGCCGCCTGTCACCGTCCCCTCGCCACTGACCGTGTCCTATTTTGACACACTGCCGCCGACGACGGCCATGGTGCTCTTCCGTCGCGGCTTTGTCTTCGCCGCGAGTGAGTCTGCCCCCACGCATGGGCTGTATAAGATTGTTAAGGACGGCTACCGCACCGACGCGGAGTACATCCTGTCAAGGATGCGGATGGTGGATCAGCGGCACGGCGGCGGCAGCGGCCGCCGCCCCGACGACGGATACGAAGAGGACACCAAAGGCGGTGTTTCGCCGCCGCTGCCGCCGCCCCCTCCTTCTGCGGGCGCCGTGGAGGAGGAGGAGGAGGACGGCACGGGCGTGTCTGCAGGGATGACGCTGATGCCGCCGCCACTGCCCAAAGTGCCCGCAGTCTCTCTTCCCCCACCTTCCTCCTTGCACAAGTCGTCACAACAGCAGCCAAAGGGTCGTGTGGTTCCACTTTTCATTCCTCATTCTGCGCTGCGGCACATGGTGCTGCTGGAAACCTATCCGAGCACCCCTGCGATAACATCCCTCGTCGTGACGATTCCACAGCACACGCAGGATACAGAAAGTAATAAGGAGCAACAATACCAACACCAACAACAGCAACCGCATGTGCAGATTGAGGCGTTAGTGGGACGCGGCTCCGACAGTGTGTTGCTGCATGCACGCTATGGGTATGCGGCAAGGCTGGAAAGCTCCTTTACATTACCGGCTGTGTTTACCCACTTGACCCCGTTGGGCTCTGCCACGGCGATGCAGCAGCGATGGCGCGAGATGCATCTGGAGGCGAAGAAGCGATCCAGTGGAGGGAGATACCGCACCACAGCAAAGCGAACCTCCCGCTTCACAAGCAATCTTCTATGGGATGATAAGCTAATACTCTCAACACGGCAAGGCACCACCGTGCTCTCGCTCGCACTTACGGGGCAGGTGGAGCCCGACACACTCTCCGGTTTTATTACCTCCGAGCACACCATTGCAGCAGGGACCCTGCAACGCGGCGTGGGATATGTTCAAATCACACCGAGTTGCATTGTTGTGCTTCCTCAGCGCATTGAACAGCAGCAGCAGCAGCAGCAGCAAAGCCCCACGGTAACGACGCCTGTGGCGGAGAGTGTTACGTGGATGCACCCTCACGGCAAGCGCATCCTCGCCGCCGCTGTCTCTGGAAATACGATGGTAGTCTCCTTTGCTCAGGGCGGAGGCATCGCCAGCTTTGATATGGGAATGCGGGGGACGCGACTACAACAGCTGGAGGCCATCCCGTCTTTTCCGCACACACCCGCAATATCTCTTCTACGAGACCCAGACAGCGAGTCAAAGCTGTTCACCGCGTCCGTGCACGGTTCTTTTGCAGCATCCGCATCGTCGGCAGCGACATTGGCGGCCATTGCCACCGCAAGCCATGAGGTCTACATTGTGAACCCTAAACGGTTGCGGGAACCGTTGGAAACCATTCGCTGCGCCACCGATGACGCGAGCGGTGGTGGTGCCCCGCCGGCGATTGTCTCTGTACTTTTAACCTATCTTGGAAGGACAGGTGGGATGCGACGCCTCTTCTGTTTTATTGGTCACATGGATGGCACGGTTACACGCTGCGAGCTGGACACGGCAACGTACAAGGCCATGGACCGGGCAGTTCTGACGTGCGGCAGTGCACCTTGTCAGATGATTTCCGGCGATGGGGAGCGGGCGTGCTATGTGCTATGTGGGGAGTTTAACTGGCGATGTGAGGTGCGTGACGGGCTACCCAAGACCGTCCCGTGGCGCTTCCCATCACCGCAGGTGATGTACGCCTCCTTCCGTCGACCACCGACCTCGAGTGTGACCACGGCGGCCACCACTGAAATGGAGATGCCAACAGGGGCGCAGGAGGAGTTGGTGCTGGGGGTTGCAGGGAATACGCTGTCGTTGTTCGCTGCCCAGCAGAGTGGTGGGACCAGCACGGCAGAGACGTCGCTGGAGTACAGCTTTGGCCACACCCAACTCTCCGTGGCGGGGCGGCGACTGCTGCAGCACCCCACGCGAACGGAGTATTTGATTGTGATTGGCACGGAGCACCGTGGGTACGGCGTCGCCGCGCTGCGACGGGCGACCGCCGCGGCTGAACAGCAACGCCGACGTCAAGGCAACACGACAGAGGATGGAAAGGGCAATACAACTAATAATGATAACACGGCCAACACAAGCAACACTAGTGGGGGTGGAATTGCGCTGGACAAACCGCAGCGATCGTTGAACCACGCGGACCACTATGTCAGCACGCTGCAGCTATACAACAGGCGCACGGACCGACTAGATCCGCCCTTGTACTTTCAAGAGCGTGAGGCAGTGCTCTCCGCCGCGGTTGGGAGTTTTGTGAAGGACTTTGGGAAGGAACCGGTGGTGGTGGCTGGCTGCGCGGAGCAGTACACGCATGGAAGCGGCTGTGGTGTTGGCCCCGCGTGGACGCAGGGCCGTCTTCGCGCGTTCCGCTTTGTTGTGAGCCAAACCAGTATGCCGGGGGGCGCTGGCGCGCCGATGCTGCGCCTTGAGCAGTTGCATGACACACTTATTGCGGCGGCAGAAGCAGGCGGTGAGGGTGGTGCTGCAGGCGGAAGCGCCGTTGTCGCTGCTTCCTATCGGACGGCGCCGCTTATGGATTATCCCTCTGCGCTGCACATTTGCCCAGAGGTGGGGCTGTTAATTGTGGGGCTGGGGCCTGAGAACGGGCTTCAGGTGTACGCGTGGGGACAACGCCGCTTCCTGCGCAAGCGAGGGCTTTCAAACGTGCCGAGCCGTATCACGGCAATTGAGACCGTATTCGTGTCCCCGCCCGGGGCGACGTCTTCCACCGTGTCGGCGTCGTGCTCAGCGCCGGACCTCTTCCGCTGTGGGCCCAACAGCAGCAGCATTGCGCGCGACAAGCGTCTTCTTATCATATGCGGTACTGTCAATCAGTCCGTCTTCATCGCGACCGTACAGCCGGGCAGTGGTATGGCAGGTTCCATGTCCTTCCTGACGCTCATCGCCCGCGACGCAGTCCCACGTAGCGTGACGAGTATCGTGTGTGTAGACGAGCGCACCATCGCCGTGGCGGATCGCTTTGGCAGTGTTGCCTTTTTGCGTCTCCCGCGCGACGCGCGTCTCGGATTTGCAGAGCCGCTGCATCACATGAGTGATGCCGAGCTGACGGAGGCGGGGCGGTACGCGGCCCAAGAGCAGGTTCTGCAGGAGATTGCTGTGCACCACACCGGGCAGCTCGTCACCGCGTTACGGGTGCACGACTACGACCCGAGCGGCGGCGCAGATCCGTCGCTGGCGCTGCGCATCGTCTTCTACGCCACCTCTCTCGGCACTGTGGGGGCCTACACACCGTTTGTGCGGGAGGAGGACGCTGCCTTGGCAGCGCACCTGCAGTCTCTCATCGCCGTCCACATCCGCTGCCCGCTGCAGGATGGCAGCGGCCACCTCCCGTACAACGCCGGCGGCCGCCTCACCGCCACCGCCGCGGCGGCCGTGTCACCGTCCCTCGTGCACAACGTCGTGGAGGGCGACCTGGCGCAGCTCCTGCTGCACGCCTCCACGTCACTCTTCTCAACAGAAGCGAAGACCGACGTGGAGGCGGAGCTCGCGCGGCGCGAGCGCGTAGAGGCGGCGCAGCGGAAGGTACTTGGGCTGCCGCCCCGCACGTGGCCGGCGCTCGCGGAGCTGGTCGCGAAGCACCGCGCCCTCGTCACCCTTCCGCCGTAGACGGTTCCCTCACCCACCCACCACCGTTAATGCGTCCACTTAAACCGTCAGAACGAAAGACATGAAAGGAGACGAAAATGAAAAAGAAAAAAAATATGAAGACAAAAAAAAAATATATGAAGAAGTCTAAGACGCAACCGCAAACAAAAAACAAAACAAAAAGTGTGATCCGCACGCATTGTAACGGCGCATATACACGCGCCACATAGATGTCTGTGTGGAGAGGCTGGGGAGAGACCGACGCAGGGAGGTACGCAAAGAAAAGGTAGTGGAGAAGAGTTATATATAGGCGGACAAGCAATTGTACGGTGCCACGAATACTATAATTGCCCCCTTCAATCACTCTACACGGATATTTCACACACACACACACACACACACACAGGCATTGAGTCACGAAGGGCAAATGTGTACCATTTGCAAAAGCCTGCAATGTTGACTCATCATGCATCTTTCCCATTCTGCTCCACATGTATCCTACCTTGTTTGTTTGATTTTTAGTTGTATGCTTCTTCGTCCTCTCTCTCTCTCTCTCTCTCTCACACACACACACACAATGCAAGAGTTAAGGCGAATACGCCTGTCTGGCACCTAAGCCTCGCAGACCGTTTTTGTGGGTCCAAAATCCCGTG